AATAGAATAGAATAGAATAGAATAGAATAGAATAGAATAGAATAGAAATGCAATAAGAATTAGGAATATAGAATAGAATAGAATAGAATAGAATAGAATAGAATAGAATAGAATAGAATAGAATAGAATAGAATAGAATTCTTTATTGGCCAAATGTGATTGGACACCCAAGGAATTTGTCTTGGTGCAAATGCTCTCAGTGTACATAAAAGAAAAGATACGTTCGTCAAGAGTCGAGAATCATCAGGTCCAACACTTAATGATAGTCATAGGGTACAATAAGCAATCAAATAATACTAGGAAACAGTCCATATAAATCGTAAGGATCCAAGCAACCAAGTTACAATCATACAGTCACAAGTGGGAGGAGTGATGACAAGATTTAAAAGTAATAGTAGTGCTAGACTTAGTAGTAGTCAGTAGTAGTAATAGACTTCCCTCCTGGTCAAGGACTGCCTTGCTTGTGTACCCAGGATGGTATACAAAAGCAACAAAGTCACAAAAAACAGGTGAAGTCCCTTTAATTCCTTCAACTTGGCTTCAAAGCTCCAATTATCATTGACTGGAAAAAAACTCCCCCACAAACAGTTGCGAAAAGGAAAAAATGCCATTCAGACTCAAAATACATAGAAATTATAAATAGAAAAAACAACACAAACCACACTGAAGCAATTAGTGAGACGGCAGGATAAGGGCTTGAAGACATCCACAGATATCGAAATACACACACTGGGAAGGACGCCAGAACTCAGATAAGAATGGAAAGACTAGAATTATTTCCACACTTTGCTTCCAGCACTGGGCCATGCGCAGTTTGTCCTTTTAAACAGTCCTCCCAGCTGCAGCCCATGAAGGTGATCAGGGCCCCTCCCTCCCCCGTAGACCACGCCATTCACGTTTCTCTCTTATCTGCTCCTCCCTGCATGCCTTAGGATGAAGAGGGGATGGGCCTGGACCTTTCTCTGACTGCCCAGCCGGCCTATGCCCTTCCCCAGTTTCTTTCACAACCTCCGGAGCCACACTCCCACTCCCTGTTGGCTGTTCCTCCTCTCCCTTGAAGTCAGACTCCAACAGGGGCATGGCAGCTTGTCTTCTGTGGATCTGACCAGAAGGTTTACAAGACTCAGCATCATAGCTAAGGCTGAAGGTCTTGACTGCGGGTGCAGCATCCTACAACCTCCAGCTCCCCTCTCTCTCTTTCTCTCTCTCTCTCTCTCTCTCTCTCCCTCTCTCTCCCTTTCCCCCACTCTCTCTCCTGCCCCCCTTCCCTTCCCCCCTGTCTCCCCCTCCCTCTCTCTGTCAGTCCTGTCCCAGCTTCAACCTCTACGCAAGGACGATCCTCAACTTCGTTTGGCCAAGAAAGGAATGGTTTCCTAGAAGTCAAGTGGATGACAGCAGGGCAAAGCCAGAGCTGGGAGTTCATGCACCGAATTCTCCCACCACCACCCCCAGCGAAACCGTCCCCCCCCAAGTCATTTCCCATCGCCCTTGCATCCTCCCCCCATTCCCCCCCCCCCATCATCCAATCATATTCAAAGAAGACGGTATTGGAATGGTTACCTGAAGTTTGTGGTGTGGTAGGCAGCTGTGTTCCGTTCTCAGAGGTCTGGCCTTGAAGCCGTGTCTCAGGAAGACACAGCGTCGTTTTTCACGGTTCCCCCTGCCCATCGGGCTATCCCCCAACCCAGAGTTCATGGCAGACTGGCACCAAGCAGTGGCAGCTCTGAGTGTGTGTGTGTGTGTGCGTGTGTGCGTATTCAACCTATCCACCCAGCTTTCGTTCGGCCATGAGATCAGGGCTGAGATTCTGCCGTTCTGGACCGATTCGGGCGAACCCCTAGCTCCAATGTTCAGCTGGCTCTGAACTGATTCGCTCCGGCGATCATGTGCGCCCGCCCACCCCTGCGCTGCACTCACTTATATCCGCTCAGCTGATTCACGTATGTTCTGACCCAAACCCTTTTCCAATAAGACAAACAATAATCAAAGGGAACAGAAACCTTTTAACGACTCTTATGAATCTCCGGTTAAAAGGCTGCTGCGAAGTAATTAACTTTGATAAGCACAAGCCTCACCAAAACTGTGTGAGGCTGCCAAGAATCACAGATAAGAAATATTTCACAACACAAGAGTCTTCAAATACCAACTTAGGATACAGGAATGTCCACGAGGCTGAGTTTCAAAACGTCTTTGCTTCCTGCAAAGAACGTTTGCTTCACAGCTGCCTTTTATCTTCTTGAAGGAGGGGCCATTACCTTGCAGCCTTATTCCCGAGTCGCCTGTGCTGCTGCAGCTGCTCTTTCCTACGAGCAATCCTGCATGCATGCGCACTTGGCACAGGCTCCTCGGTAACCTCCTCATCGCTGCTGCCAGCTCCCACAATCTCTGAATGAACGCAGCAATCTACTCCCTGATGGTCCTGGCCCCTCATCTGAGTCCTCGCTCTCCTCGGCCATCCGCACCTGCTGCCGGCTAACTACAACAACGCGGCAGATCAGATTGCCGCGCCTCAGCTGGGTTACTTTCTGAAAGTAACATCAAAGGTAAGTAATTTTGAAAGCTGCGTGCAATTAACAAACCGGTTGTGACACCGGCAGCGTTCCTAACACTGCATAAGATCCCCTTGCTTTGATTTCTGGGAATGACGCCATCCGCAGCCAATTCTGGTCTTCTCCATCTTCCCTGCCACAGTCCCAAGGAAGGCCTTCCGCACCCCCACTTCCTCCTCTTCCCCGGTTCCCCCTGGCTCTGTCCGTGGGTGCCAGACAACGCTGCCCTCCCCTTCACCCCACTTCTGCTGCCCCTCTCTTATCTCACCATGCAATACTTTGCCTTCTGGACAGAAGCATCCCTCCACACAGGATGCCGTCTCCAGCGGGCAGTGCTCGGCAGGCTCCAAGCCGAAGTTCTGGCACGTCGGAGGGCAGGCGGGGCCGCAGGGGTGATACTCCATCCCATGATCACACTGTAAAGCTGAGCGAGTGGAAGAGCGGGGTGAGTAAGAGGGCAAAGCCCCAGGAGAGATCGGAGAAAGGGCTTCAGGGATTGGTCAGTCAGAGCGCTTCTCGGAGCTTCTGGCCCTCCATAGTCCGCCAGAGGGGGGCATTCAGCAGGTTTGGACAGGTTCTGGCAGACCGGTAGCGGGAAATTGTGGCCGGTTCAGAGCACCGGCAAATCCTACCTCTGCAGTGGTGGGATTCAAACATTTTTTTAAACTACCAGTTCTGTGGGTGTGGTTAGGTGGGCGTGGCCAGGTAACCGGATGGGCGTGATTTTTTTTGCAGCACCTCCCCCCATTTTGGGGCCTTCTGGGCCTCAGGCAAGCCTCCTGGGGGGTGTTTTTGCTCCCCTGGGGCCCAGAAAGGAAAAACATGGAGTGCAGGGGCGGGGGGGGGATGTGCCCGCTCCCTCCATTTTTTGCCTTCCTAGGCCTCAGGGGAGCCTCCTGGGCAACTCAGTAAGACAGCGAGGGGAATCCCAGCACAACTGATCATCCTCTCCTTCCTTCTCTCCTTCCTTCCTCCTCCTCTCCTTCCTTTCCTTTCTCCCTCCTCTTCTCCTTCCTCCCTCTTCCTTTCCTTCCTTCCTCCTCCTCCTCTCCCTCCTCTCCTTCCTTCCTCCCTCCCTCCTCCTCTCCTTCCTCCTCTCCTCCTCTCCTTCCTCCCTCTTCCTCTCCTTCCTTCCTTCCTTCCTCCCTCCCTCCTCCTCCTCTCCTTCCTCCTCTCCTTTCTTCCTTCCTCCCTCCTCCTCTCCTTCCTCCCTCTTCCTTTCCTTCCTCCCTCCTCCTCTCCTTCCTTCCTTCCTCCTGGGCGAACCAGTAAGACACCAAGCAGAATCCCGGCACAGCTGATCGTTGGAACAGCTGATTGTCAGGAGAAGAAAAAAAGAGTGACTGGGCAGGGAAGAATGCAGTCAGTGATGTCGGGCATATGCGCGATGTTGTGCATGCGTGATAAGGACTGACTGGGCGGGGAGGGGAGGGGCAACTGGGCTAGGAGCGTGGCGAGCCAGAAGTTACTACCGGTTCGGCGACCCATGCCAAATCCTTTGCTACCAGTTTGCCCGAACCGGTGCAAACCAGCTGAATATCACCACTACACCTCTGGCTGGCCCCACCCACCTGCTCCTGCCCTATCCTGTCCTATATTCCCCTTCTTTTTACCTCAGCTGATTTGTGTGGCAGAGCGGATCGCCGTGCCTCAGCTGGGCTCAAAAAACCGCTCACCTCGCCAGCGCTGACACAGAGGGCGGCTTTTGATTGCTGCATGCACGTGCGCCAAGCACACTCTCATAGAACTGGTAGGAAACACTTTGGAATCCCACCACTGCTAGACGCCCCACGTTGGAGAAGGTCTCTTTCCTCCCCAGCCTCCTCCAAAGCTTACGGCAGAGTTCCTGGCTTCTCCAGCGGACGGAGACTCCTCGCTGGTTGCACTCCTCGGCGTATGTTGCAACAGCCGTGCAGAGGCATTCGCAGTCCCCTCCAGAGTCACACCTGAGCAAAGAGGAGGCAGAGAAGGGGATCAGATCAGCAGAGACATTGGCAGAAAGTCCACACACACACACACACACACACACACTACCCTGCTGATCTGGGTAAATTGAAAAATACAATTTATTGGGCAGAGCCTGGCAAAACACAGCAAACACATAAAATTCACCAGAACAGCCTAGAACTGTGATGGCAAACCTATGGCAGGCGGGCCAGAGGTGGCATGGAGAACCATTTGTGCTGCCACGCGAGCCCCAGGCAAACTTACCTCACTGCACAAACGCCTGCCTCCCAGATGATTTATAGTCCGTTTCAGGTCTTTTTCGGTCTCCCAGAGGCTTGAAGGAAGCCTCAGCAGCCTTTGGAGGCTGAAAAATAGGCCCGTTTCATCACTTCTGGTATTTCCGGAAATACCGGAAGTGACGAAACGGGACCATTTTTCGGCTTCCAAAGGCTGCAAAGGCTTCCCTCGAGCCTCTGGGAGACCCAAAAAGGTCTCAAATGGGCCCAATATCAGCTGGGAGGCGCAGTGCAGGTAAGGGGACGGCGGGGGGATCATGCACACATGCGCAGGGGGGCCACGCACATTACCTTCTGGGTGCTGGCACGCGAGTATGCATGCATGAGCGTTCACACAATTTTTGGCACAGGAGCCCCCAAAGAGGAGCCACCACTGGCCTATAAAATGCGCATGGAAATATAAAAACCCATAGTGAATTGTTTTAAAAACACAGCGTTCAAGCCATGCGTAAAATTAAACCACGCATAATGTAGACTAGCCCTCTTGTGGTGCACCACCTGCCAATGTGACTTTGTCATGGCTAAATAGTCTATAGAGGTGCTATTCAGCCGGTTTGGACCGGTTCTCATGTACCACTTGCAAAAAATTTTGAAGCGTGCTCTCCAAACTGGGAGGGAAAAAAATGAGAAACCCACCACTGGGCCTCTATGACCCCTCTTTCCAACCAGCGGTCCTCTCTGTTCAAAATGGAGGACTTTGCTGTCCTTTGCCTTTGAAATGCAGATCGATGGCTGAACCTAATCCTGAGGGGAGTCATGTCCCTCTCGGAGTCTGAATCCGAGGAGGAAGATGAACGGCTGACACAGGGAGCGGGAGTGTGAATCCGTTGGCTGTGGAGGAAACCGGGGAAGGGCAAACTCCGGCTGGGCAGAGCAGGGGAGAGGGAGAACAAGGGAGAGGGAGTTCAGAGAAAGACCCAGGCCCACCCCCTGTTCATCGTAGGGCACGCAGGGGGGAACGGAGAAGAGAGCAATGTGGGTTGCGTGGCTTTCTCTAGTCAGGAGGAAAAAACTCTCCCGCAAACCTGCCACAACCTTTGGCTGTAGATATTTCCAATCCAATGTTGTAACCCAGAAAACTTTCAGCTATAAATCCAACAAGGCAAAAGAAGGCAATAACTCTGGCAGGGTAGGAGAAGGCGTTCCAGAAGTGAAGTGACACGGCAGTAAATCAAACCAGTTGGGAGGATACCAGGAACTCTGATAACAGCAGCCAACACTAGGTAAACTCAGCAATTGTTCCCGACAACCGCCCCTCCTTTAAACTCCCTCCCCAGGAGTGCCTTGTGAAGGGAATCAGGGCCCTTTCCTCCCCCATAAGCCATGCAACCCATGTTGCTCTCTTCTTCCATGCATGCCCTAGGAGGAAGAGAGGGTGGGCTTGGGTCTTCATCTGAACTGCCTGTCTCTTGTTCTACCTCTCCCCTGCTCTGCCCAGCCTGACTTTGCCCTTCCCCAGTTTCCTCCGCAGCCAACGGAGCCCACTCCCCGTCAGCCATTCACCTTCCTCCTCAGATTCAGACTCCGACAGGACCATGACCCCATCCAGGGTTAGTTGGCAGGGATGGCATGTCACCTCCTGTCTGTGCCAAGGTGAAGGACCAGGCTTAACAGCTTCAGCAAACAGGTAGAACTGTCTGCTTAGGTCAGGGGTGCCAGACTCAAGGTCCAGAGGCCTTCAGGGTACTTAGATATGGTGACCCCACAGGGTCACCCTGGAAACAGCAAAGGACAGGCTCATGATGCCTCTGCCAGCAGAAGCAGAGCCTGGGAGCATCGTATGTGGCTCTCCTGAGCTCTGTTTTCACTGGCAGAGGGTTGCAGGAGGCTGTCACAGCTGAAAATGGAGCTCGGGAGCCCAGTTTTGGTGGAAGAGCACTTGGGCCACTACAGGTGCCCCCAACAGGAGTGACATCAAGCTGGTCACACCCACGTTGGCCATGCCCACCCCGGCGCCTCGAGTTCAAACACTATGTTGATGCGGCCCTCAATAAAGTTGAATTTGACACCCCTTGTTTAGGTGGTGAACCTTTTTCTCCTTCCTACACAACAGGTTCTTCCTAGGAGGAAAGCTTTACCCAGGGTCCCTATCTTCCCACCCCTGCCCTCTCCAGCAGACCCTCACTCACCCGCAGGCATCAAAAACACACCACTCATAGAACTGTTGGCAGGGCAGCTCCTCACGGCAACGGGCAAAGAGATCCTGAAGGAGAATCCCGCAACGCTTCCGAGCCCATGTTGCACGGTGAGAATTCACCTGGAGGCGAGAGATGTGGAGTTGTGGGAACACCCGTATCTCATTTTTCAATTTGCAACCACAAAGGGTCCTTCCAGACACCTGGAACACACGCTCATCCAGTCCTACCAGGGAGTGAATTTCCCCCCTGCCGACACAATCACAGGTCGTACCATGCAGGGATGTTCAAAGTCCTCGGCGTTGACTTCAGGACACAGAAGGCTGATGCGCCAGGAGTTGCCAAAGAGGTCAGCCGTGGGTTCCACGATGCCTTGTTGGCTGGAGAAGTCATTCTCCGCATCACCGTCAAAGTTCCCACAGAGCCCTGCTACCCGGCCTTGGAACTTGGCTTCCAGTTTGATATAGACCCGAGTGCCTGGAGAGGAAGGGAGAGGATGAGGGGTTGAGGCCCAGTGTCCTTTTCCAGTGAGGTGCTCGCTTGAGTTCAGGATACTGATTCAGGCTTAGGATCCTGAGACAAGCTACAGCAGTGTCATTTTTTTTCAAGAACTATCACATGTCAGCCATGAACAAAGTCCATCCAGACCTTCACAGTGTGAGAGGTGAGCTTTTCACTGTCAAGACTGACTTGAATGTTCACCTATATTCCGCTTTGCTCACAACTTGGCGAAGAATGGGGAAGGGTGTGGACTGGAATGCAAGGGTGGGGGGATTGGCTTCCAGGCATCGTTGGCTCCCACCCCCTCAAGGATACCGAGAGCAGATGCCACAGCGTGGTTGGCTGGTTCCCAAAAAACTGAACAGAAGTGATTGGTGGACGTGATGGACTGTGGGTGGCCCGCAGGGAAAGGGGAAATGAACTGGGCGTGCATTTGCACAGGAAGCTCAAAGCTGCTTTCACTTCTTCTGCGCCAATGTGGATTTATTTAGTAAAGTTTTTGTTGTAATTGTTCTTCTTTTAATGACCACCGTAATCCTTTGCAGGATGGAATTGGGCTGAGGATTTACTGGCCGGATGTCCTTCCTATCGCCAACGAGCTATATTCAGCAAATATATTCCCATTATGCCCAGAGAAATATCAGCCTCTATCCAAGATCGAATCCACAGCTTCCTGATTGTGAGGCGAGAGCTCCACCTCTTAGGCCACTGTACCACTTGACTTCTTCTGTAAAGTTTATGCTCTTGGGAAAATAATATCCCAGCAGTTTCTTTTTCTGGATTCGACAACTGGACAATTGACATTCACCAAACAATGGCGAGAAGAAGGTGTGCAGAGACCTCTGGGGGAATGTGATGGTTGTATTTGCTGGAGGACACCAGAACGGACAACCTGGTTCACCTCGTCAACTGGTCCAGTGGCTATCTTCAAGCCTATGATGGACAACAAGCTGATAGGTTGATCAGTCCTGGAAGCCTCATGTGTGCCGCAACCAGACTGGATGTTCTGTGCAAACCAGGTTGTACGTTGAGGGAATGCAAGAGTGACAACCTTGAGATGTTCCTCGGGGATGAGAGAGACCTCCAGAAGAGGTGATCGAGGAGGCCCCATAAGTTTAGCATAGGGGCCTCCTGCAGGGGTGGGATTCAAATTTCTTAACAACCGGTTCTGTGGGCGTGGCCTAATTTGGGGGTGTGGCTTGGTGATCATGTGACTGGCTGGGCTTGGCTTGTATGTAAATATTGTAACTATTTATGTAAATATTGAATTTTTTACAAAAAAAAGAGCAACTTTTATCCAAAACCAGGCAAAGCAGTCAGGCGGATTGAGTTGCTCACAGAATCACAGATTCGCTCAGAGATCTACCCTTCTGCAATCTGCTGCCTGAGTCTGCACTGAGAAATAGAAGCTTCGGTCCTAAGGAAGGTTCAGCTCTGCTTTTAGATTAGCT